AATCTTCTTTTAAAGAACTCAAAGAGCTAGAGCTAAGATATTTAGCATGAAACATCTTCTAGTGAGTGTCTACAAAGTTTGTTCAAATAAAAGCCCTGGGGTCAAAATTGGCCCCGCCCCAGGGGTGTCATTGGTTTTAACTATATGTGTATAGTAAAAACTTAAAAAATCTTCTTTTAAAAAAACCCAATGAGCTAGAGCTTAGATGTTTAGCATGAAACATCTTCTTATGGGTGTCTACCAAGTTTGTTCAAATAAAAGCCCTTGGCTTAAAATTGGCCCTGCCGGTGGGGTGGGAGAGGGCGGGAGGATGGGGGGGTAGATCATTGTTTTTCATTATATGTGTGTAGTAAAAACTTAACATCGTGAAACATCTTCTAATGGGTGTCTTCCAAGTTTGTTTGAATAAAAGCCCTGGGGTATAAACTGGCCCTGCTCCGGGTGCCTTTATACAGGTGAGCGACCTCAGGGCCATCATGGCCCTCTTGTTTTGATATATTGCAACTTACTTGATTTTTTTTTAATCAAAAACTGGATATATATACAAATATGCAAAAATTGTTAAAACTGTGGTTAATTAATTTCAGAGTTTCAAAAAGAATTTTAATACTATTCAGTTCTGTCTAATGGCACGTACATACAATTTTTTACTTTACCTACTATGTTTAAATTTCAGCCAGAACAATGCCATGATAAAATGTTAAGAAATGAGAAAAAGAACAATCACATGAAAAAGAATAAAGACTGTTTGGAAAGTATTAAACATCAAACTAAAAAATCTGTGCAAATGTAGATTCAAACTCGAAAAACCATTTTCATAACCTGAATTGTCTAACCACTACACCACTCAGGTTTATGTGTCTATACTAACTTTTATTCAATTTTCTTGCAATAAAAGCAAGGCAAAATGTAATAATTAAATAACTAAAATGCACAACCCATTATATCATAATGGTACCACCAAATAATGAAACTGTTATCGTTTTCAACTTATAGTATTACAAAACCTAAGAACAACAAAACATGATTAATTTATGTCACCTTAATGATTCCCTCTTATGTTTTACTCTTATATACAGATTATATTGCAGTCAAAGAATGCTAATGTTCTTTACTAAGTGGTTCAGTTTTTATCCTATCATATGTTGGCGGTATTATGTAGTATATGACGTCAATTGTTAGGTATCAAATCCAGCCTTGATTCGTAGGAAATTTTTATTCCTTCTATTTAATAGGAAATTTTTATTCCTTCTTAAAATCGTCTAATGAAGGATATTGAGTTCATAGTTGAATAGCATTATATTATGTGAGTCTCTGGCTTGCAAAATATTATTTAATTCAACTAGTTCAATAAATTCAATTTAGTAATGAACCTACACAAATATAATATTCTGTTAATCACATACCCAAATTAAATACTGTTTAAAGTGAAAAAAATCATTTGAGCCGCGTTACGACAAAACCAACATAATGGGTTTGCGACCAGCATGGATCTAGACCAGCCTGCGCATCCGCGCAGTCTGATCAGTATCCATGCTGTTCGCTATCAGTTTCTCTACTTGTAATAGGGTTTGTAAGCGAACAGCATGGATCCTGATCAGACTGCGCGGATGTGCAGGCTTGTCTGGATCCATGCTGGTCGCTAACCCATTATGTTGGTTTTGTCGTGACACTGCTCATTTTTCAATGACACACTTACAGTGTTTTTAACATTTTATTTTAGCGCCTATTCTCACTATGTTTGTAGTAAGCTATTGACGTCATGTATTAATTAATATATGCACAATTATACGGAGTCACAAAATCGGCACTTGTATGTGATAAAATTGTTAATTACACATGGTATTACCGGTAGATTGTTATGATTATTTTGTAAGATATGTTAAGTTTTAACTAACATTTGGGAGAGAAAAAACATTGTTTGGTGTGAAAATCACACACCGTGTGACAGCGTCCCTGAAGGTCTGATAATTATTCTGAATATTGTATACTAATTGACGCAACAATCATAACACCCATACTGAGTAGGGATTACAGACCATTAATATGAAATAAAAACAAAACAGCAGATTTAAAGCAACAAAATTGATCCTAGATTCATGCTTATAACATTAAAATTTTGAAAATGCATTTAATAGTCAGGGCTACTTTAAGTGAAGTTTTGGAGTCATTTACCTAGTAACTTCCAAAATGGAATGCTTTTTCTTCTTTACCTATAAAATGTGACTTCCATCGCAGAGATTTTGCAGTCTTGTATCTCTGAATTTTGGAACTTAATGAAGCCCTGTAAGTAAAATATCATGAAGTGAACAAAGAAAGTAGTTCCCTGTGTCAATACAGCACTAAAGTCTTACAATCCACATAAATTACCAAAAAGCGGTATTAAAAACATGAAAAAGTTGCCCTTATTGCATTAGTCACTCAGTGGAAATATGGATACAAATACTGCTAAAAAGTATCATTAATCACACATAGCATGTAAATTTTTACTTAAATCTTGAAATTTTTTAGTTTCTTTAAAATCTTAGTATATTTCAAGTTTTATATTCTTGTATACTTTTGTCTTATCTGGAGGCATGCAGCTTTAATTAAGCTTAATGTTCCATGTGATATCTTTAAAACGACACTTTAAGTGTGATGATCATCCCCAGGTATTCCTAACAATGGCTCAAATGAAAACTATAGGTTACAACTATTACAGACTTATTAACCTTTTCCAAATGCTTAGATTGTGTAATGGAATTTTTCCAGCTTTGAAAATGCTTAGATTGTGTAATGGAATTTTTCCAGCTTTGAAAATGCTTAGATTGTGTAATGGAATTTTTCCAGCTTTGAAAATGCTTAGATTGTTTAATGGAATTTTTCAGCTTTGAAAATGCTTAGATTGTGTAATGGAATTTTTCAGCTTTGAAAATGCTTAGATTGTATAATGGAATTTTTCCAGCTTTGAAAATGCTTAGATTGTGTAATGGAATTTTTCCAGCTTTGAAAATGCTTAGATTGTGTAATGGAATTTTTCAGCTTTGAAAATGCTTAGATTGTGTAATGGAATTTTTCAGCTTTGAAAATGCTTAGATTGTGTAATGGAATTTTTCAGCTTTGAAAATGCGTTGATTGTGTAATGGAATTTTCCAGCCTTGAAAAATTTTTTGATGTTAGATCCTAATGCATAGTGTTAATTAGGAGCTAATTTTAATCAGATTGGTCTGTGAATTATTATTCTCCCTTTATCCTTAGCTTCTATTTCGTCAGACAGTTACTTAATTATGTGAAAAGTTTTGTCTTTCAGGTTAATAAGAAGCTCAAAATAAGGAACATTTATCCCTGCTTAAAATCAGGAGCAAATATTGTGATTTTCATAGATTCTATATGGTCATATTTATTATGATGCTCCCATCTGTGTTCTGCTTTTCTTGTATTGTTATAATACATAGTATTACATGTAAACGATATGATTATATAAATATTTTACTATTTTTGGCTTCAGAATAATGATAACTTGTATTTCCAAACATAGAATAATCCAAACATAGAATAAGATTATTTTGTGCCTACTACAGGGATTGGTCTTTCGAATGCTGGTGAATTATTAATGCATGTTGAAACAGTAGATTAATATTTGATTTCACTGACCCACCATTGATTCCCACGACTTCCATGTACATACTCTAAGAATTAAGAATGAAATTCCTTAGATGATCAGCAATTTTCATCTCTGTAGGAAGTGGTAGACATGGTCTCCTTCCAATGAAAACGTGCTATGTTGTTTGATTTATAGCCAATGGAAATGAAGATATTTGGAAGATTTATGTGTGTATGACATTTTCATGAAACCTGGCCTTGACATTTAATTAACTTTGTTTCTGAGAATGACAATATTGTCTGGGATGATCTCCACTGACATTATATTTATTAATTCTGCCACATGAAGGTGGTCTTTAATATGTACATTGTTATTTTTATTGAAGACTGTGAGTTTAGGGTATCTTGTCCTTAGTGACCTTGTGTTGCTTTGAAGTTTGTAACACCCGAGGTTAGCAAAAATCATCTTTCCTGTTTTGGCGCCATATGACCTGTACAGTGTTGATGGGCCATAAAACCAAACCAACAAACAAAAGTACTTTGACTACACATACAAGTACATAAGAAACTTAAAATACAGAAAACAAAACTGTTTTAAATTCAATAACAAATTCTATGAGCAGATTTTGGGAACAACCATGGGAACTTAATGTTCACTTAGTTATGCCATTATCTTCATGTCATACCTGTGTGACTCAAAAAACCACTTGTATGATGGTGCTTTATTGATGACATTTTCATGATAATTGGCCACACTTTACAGAAGATTTTATTCCTTCCTGGCCCAACTCAACAAATTCAACAATTACGTCAATAAAATTCACTTAGAAGATAAACACTATAACTGCCAATTTTTTAGATGTCAAAATAATAAAGGATTCAGAAGGAAATATAAATACGAGTCGATACACAAATAAACAAATTATAGCAATCTCTTCTATATATGGAATCTTTAAAACTACAGAATAATAACAACCAGGACAAGTATTTCTCTGTTTCTGTCTTATTTTGATTACTGCTTGAGATACACTGTATCCCAGTATGGGATCCATCTCTACTGGGAAAAACTGCCAGTTATCCATTTGTTGTGGGTGGCTGTACACAGTATATATTTTACTATCTACCAAGCATCTAATAATTAAAACCCGAAAGAAAGAAAAAAAAATGGAAATTGAAGAATCATCAAGCATAATTGAGAAAACAAACATCTCCAGCTTAAAAGTACATAAGAAACTTAAAAACTTAGAAACTGTGATTTACATTGAATAATTTTTTAACCTTTTTAGTTAATAGATGGTAAACATTCAAAATGCTAGAAATTTGTATAAATCCATTTCATTCAGATATGTTCAGCCTACCCCACCTAAACTGACATGGGCAACAGGAGGGGAAACAAAGATATTAAAAAAAAATTTTTTTTAACTTTTGCAGGCAATTGAAGAGTACAAGAAAGCTCTTTCACTTGGAAATCAAGGCTTCAAGAACATAGTGGAGTCTGTAAGATGGGAATTATCTACCACATATTTTAATATGGCTTCTTTACTGCAAGATTATGCACCTTTATCATCTGTAAATAAAGAGGAGGTAATAAAAAAAAAATTATTATTTAAAATACTCTTGTAAAAGGAAGAAATAAAATAATATTATTTTATCTCCTAAGAGGAGATAATAGGATGATATGTTCTTCTGAAAGGAGGTAATAAAATAATTATTTGTTCTTCTAAGGGGAGGTAATAACATAATTTGTTCTTGTAAAAGGAGGTATTAAGATTTGTTCTTCATGAAGATGTGAATAATAATTATGCGTCAATGATTTATACAAAGAACTGTTAGTACAAAATGTATTTAAGGTTCCATTGAGTTTTAGTTCACCTACGCTAGTTCAAGGTGAGCTTTCTAAGGATCGTTGAATGTCCGTTGTCCTGCATCTGTTGTCCGTCCACTTTTGTTTGTTATCACTCTAGCGGTCATATTTTTGCCTCAATCATCATCAAACTTTGTAAGAGCACTTGTCAGATGAGTTCAAACGTTGGTCATCTCAGATTAAAAACTAGGTCACAGGAGCTAAAAATAGAAAGTCTTGTTTACACTCTATAGGCTACTGTTTTTGATCCAAATATCCTAGAAATTGGCCTGAAAGTTTGTTTTGATAATTTCAAGGTCAAGTTTGAATATGGGTCACCTTGGGTCACAACCTTGTTAACACTGTCGTGGTCAGGATGCTTTTCTAGGTAATTGCTTGGATGAGTTCGAATGTTGGTCATCTTCAAAGAAAAACTAGGTCACAGGAGCTACAAATAGAAAAATTTTGATAACACTCTAGTGGCTACTGTTTTGATTTCTAGGTCAAGTTCGAATGTGGGTCACCTGGGGTCAAAAACAAGGTCACACCACCCAAACATCGAAAAACCTTGTTAACACTGTAGTGGTTACATTTTGACTCAGTTTTCATGAAACTTGGTCAGGATGCTTGTCTAGTTAATTGCTCATATGAGTTTGAACATGGGTCAACTCTGATGAAAAACTAGGTCACATGAGCTAAAAATTGAAAAATCTTGTTAACTCTCTTGTGGCAACTGTTTTTATCCAAATGTCTTTGAAATAGATCAGAAAGTTTGTTTTGATGATTTCTAGGTCAAGTTGGAATATAGGTCACCTGAGGTCAAAACCTAGGTCACACTGCCTAGATATGAAAAACTTTGTTAACACTCTAAATTGGTCACATTTTTGAAAAAACAATCAATTAAGCAATTATAGTAGATATCAAGGCATGCTCAGTGTAATTTTCACACCTTCGCAGATTATACATTTCATTCATAAATTAAGCAAAATTACACTTACCAGTTTTGTGTATGTTTACAGCTGCAAGATGTGTGATTATCTGTTATTTTGAATGTGGATGTGACATTTGGCAAAATAGGTTCGGATCTGAGAGGTTTATTTAAGAGTAAAATAAGTACAAAAATTAAAAAATCGTCCAGAATTCGGAGTAGACATGTTCCAGATCCGGAAGGTTTTTTATTATTGAAAAATAGAGCAAACGAAATTTTGACTGGACACTTTATTTGGATAAGAAAGGATTCCAGATTAGACAGGTTCAGATTAGCAAGGCTCAACTGTATATGTATACAAATTTTTCAACAGTTAAAACAATTACGCATGATGAAAACAAAATAGGTCTCTAACTTCCTTGATTTATGTAACACACCTCTTTTGGAATTTGTCTGTTTTAAATATTACACAAGTATCGAATTATAGTTAAACAAATATGCTGCTAACAGAAAAGAGTTTGGTAAGAATTCACAATAGTCTAGGCTATATGTTACACAATATTAATTAGAGGTTGGGGCAGTGAAAAATCATGGCAAAGTCATTATTGCATGTTATGTTTTGAGTAGATTGTTAAATTTCCTGTTATTGCTGGTATCTTCAGGTTGAGAATGAGGTGACAAATTTAATGGACAATTCCATGAAATACTGCAGGGAAGATTCTTCATATGCCAGTCAACCAATGTACCAGTTTAGGATGGCGTCCATAAATCACAGGCTAGCTTCATTGTTCCATAGCACAGTGAGAGGGGATGTAAGTCAAGTTGTTAAGTTTTTTTAGCTCACCAGAGCCGAAGGCTTAGAGTGAGCTATTAGTATCAAAGGGGGATGCTCCGTCGTCCGTCATCAACAATCGTCTTCTTCTCTGAAACTACTAAGCAGATTTACTTCAAATTTGGTCTGTAGCATCCATGTGACAGTCACACTGGAATTTGCCCATGTCATTCCAATTGGCCCCTTTTAGGGGTCAGCAGAGCTAAAAATAGAAAAACCTTGAAACATCTTCTTCTACAGAACTATTTGATGGATGATCACCAAACTTTGTCTGTAGCATTTTTGGGTAGTCTATTATCAAGTTTGCTCATATGAATTTGATTGGCCTCTTTTAGAGGCTGCTAAAGCTAAAAATACACATACTGTTTAATGTCTATTTCTAGAGAACTAATTGATGGATGATCACCAAACTTTGTCTGTAGCATTCTTGTGTAGTCTTTTATCAAGTTTGCTCATATTATTTTGATTGGCCCCTTTTAGGGGTCTCTATGGCTAAAATTAGAAAAACCTTTAAATGTCTCCTCCTACAGAACTAATGGATGGATGATCACCAAACTTTGTCGGTAGCATTCTCGGGTAGTGTTTTATCAAGCCCTCCTCAACGATCATATTAACTCTTTTATAACTATAAGATTTTTTTGCTAGTAAGAAGACTTTCAAACATACAAATAAAGTTAAAACTCTACTGAAAATATTCAAAAATCCCTGTAACCTTGTTAAAGAGAATGAGTATGGTGATTAAACAAAGTTTGTATATATCATTAGGCATCACATTAATTGAGAAGATAACAATAGTAATATATCAATTGTTTCAATAATAGAAAGTACATTACAAACTTTTGATGCCATAAGAGTAGATGAGTCCGCATATAAGCAAATATAACTTGAATATAGATCAAAGATGCAATGAATCCTTGCTGGAAATATCGGTAAATGAGCTTTATTTCTAGTTTCACAAAAATTCATACTTATTGTTTAACCCTTTCCCCCATGAGCATATTGTGAAAAATGGCCATTTTCACTGAAAAGCCTCCTCTAACAAGTTCAAACTGCTATGAAACTATGAAAAATGCTTCAATACTAATCAAACTTGGCACAAATGTTGACTGGACCATTGCCTTTGTAACGAAATGCTCAGTCTTAAATTTCCTGTTACCATGGCAACGAGGGGACATCTCAAAATTGCCAAAAATCACTTTTTTGCCTCGATTTTTTCCATCAAAATTTACTTCAAAGTGCTGCAACTTCTCAAGGGATTGAGATAGAGTCAAAGGCTTTTCAGCATTGGTTACATGTTACCTTATGATCAACCTGGGGTCATTTTAAGCCTATCACAAGTCCAAAATTTTCTTTGCGATGAGGGGGACTCCGCCCCCCTTCAAACCCCCCAAACAGAAGGGGGCACATCCCCCTTCTGGCAACCCCCTGATGTATTAATTGGGTGGGGGACGGTGCCGAAAAAATGGTCATTTTTTTTTACAACATTTCTCAAACGAAAAACAGTGTTTGGGGTCTAAATGGGACATTTTTTCACTGTTTGAGGCCTCAAAAGGGGGGGGGGGGGTCAAAAAGCCGTCAAAACACGCTTACATAAGGGAAAAGGTTAATAAGTTGCTGTCAAATATTTATATCTCAATCACTTATTGTGTTCTTTTGGACATTTTCTTTGGGGAAAGCCCGCCTCATACAGCCCATGATATAAAAAGGGGGGGGGGGGAAAAGCCATGGTTTCAAAGACAAATACCTGAGCCAAATTCAAGGTAGGGTTACAAGGCTGCAAAAAATTAAAACATGTATGTATGTCAGATATTCGATATATATGACCTGCAGTTTAACTCCGGTTATATATACAATACCTGAGAGCATGTGTCAGTTTCCTTGATAGATTACATTGATTTGTTTATTCATTAACAGCTACAGTAAAATTTAATCATATATCACATTCTTGGTGGAATGATGACATCTTTTCAGGTGAATTAAGGAATCAAGACACAGTGCTCCAATTGTATTGAACTTCAATGCTTGATTTCTAAATTGATGATATTAAATTTTAGCACGGCTGTTTTGAAGAAAAAATTCCAGCTATGGTGATTGCTGCATAGTAAACATTGACTTTAATAGCAACCATTGACATTCCATAGCAATGATACATTTCCATAGCAACCACTTAATGTCCATAGCAACCATTGACTTTTAGAGCAACCAGGGACTTCCCATAGCAACTACTGACTTACTTAGTAACCAGTTTGTTACATAGCAACCATTGACTTTCCATGGCAACCTTAGACCTCTTTAGCAGCCAGTGACTTTCCATAGCAAAAAGTGACCCTCTTAGCAACTGTTGACTATCCATTGCAACCATGGACTTCTTTAGCACACAATGACTTTCCATAGCATCCAGTGACTTGCCATAGCCACCATGACTTTCCATAGCAACCAGTTGCCTATTGCAACCATTGACTTTCCATAGTAACCATTGACTTCCATAGCAACCACTGAATTTCCATAGCAACCGGAGACTTCATTAGCAAGTAGTGACTTTTTAGAGCAACCATTGACTTCCATAGCAAATGGTGACTTTAAAAAGCAATAAGTGGCTCTCATAGCAACAATTGACTTTCCACATTGCAAACAGTGACTTCTTTAGTAACTTATTATTGTTTTCCCTTAGCAATAGCAACCAGTAATGTTTTTACATGTGCACTATTTCAGATACAAATATGAACTTTGTGATATCAGTTTTAGATTTAGATTTTATATCTGCTTTCGTTTGTCGTTTACAATATTACTCAGTGTTTTCTTTCTTTATATAACTACTACCCTAAAACGGTGCCATTCCCAATAAAAATAGACATTAAAATTCCCAATTTCCAATGTTAAATTCCCAAAATGACTGTTCAAAATGCCCACAAGGCAAAGTGATTTTTCTAAAATCATTTAAATCCAACATATTAATATAAATCACCACTCAATAGTTCTATCTAGACAGTAGAAGCTGTTAGCTATCTTTATTCATGATGTCTAATCTCATTTGTAGCTGAAAAAATGCATTAAAAAAATTCCCAATTTTAGTCAAAATAATGCATTTTTTCCCAATCAGTCTGGTACCGGTACCATTCCCAAAGTAGAGAAAAAAAACGCTGATTACTTGTCCCTTGTCATTAAGTGTATTTATATTCAAGTGAGTGATACAAGGGCCATTAAGGTCCTCTTGTACATTTGTACATGTTATGCAATTTTTTTGAAAAAAAAAAAAGAATTCAAGTCTTGGGAGTTTGCCTAAAGGTCATTGTTTAATTATTACTAATTTTACCTATTTTAGTAATAATCATGAAAGTGTGTATCTTAACCTTAAATATTTGCTGATAAATCAAGATAATCATTCAACTTTGTGTAATTTTAGTGTTCTGAACAGAAGAAGAGACATTTAAGACAGTTGTCAGAGAAACATTATCAACGAGCTTTGAAATTATACCTTCAAATGGAGTGTCACATGGAGTATTTAAGAGCACAGTTAGAGTATATAGCCCTTCTCGAACGTAGTCTTACAGGTATTGTTGCCATTAAAATTTTCATCGAATAAATAAACTAGTCATTCGTAACCACAGCCAAATGTCAGAATAATTCAGGACATTCATTTGTCAATAAACTGTACAATGTATTTTTCTATATCTTTTACTCAGATTTCAGTATAATTGTTTTTCTATAACTATTGGTCAGATGTGTCAGATGTCAGTATTTTAAAGGGCAGATGGACCTTCATTAAGCCAAAAATATATACATGGTCACCTTAGTGCAATAACAGGTTAACTCTTTGTATAATTTAATTGGATTTAACCTATTACTGCCTAAGATGATGACATAAACTACAGGGGGCTTGTATAAGGTTGTATTAGAAGTCAGTATACTACAGCAGGGCACATTTCTGAAACTAAACCTTATATGCCAGTTTACAGCAGGGAGTGTGTCTATAATTTTGGTAAGATGTTGGTATACTTCTCTCTTGCTCAAAGGTCAAGGTCACAGCTAAGGATTGAAGTTAGCACTTTGTCATTTAGTTTATGTGCAGCTGGAGTTTTGTCCCGTCTGACTTCTGATTTCATAATGAGTTTTCAAAAGGAATTCAATTTGGTACACATGTTCACCATAAGTAGACAATATGCTTTGTTCAAGGTGCAAGTCTGCAAGCTTTAGACAAGGCTCTTTAATGTTTTTAAGTATTAAAAAAAATTTATATTTTGATTAGGGATGTCTGAAAGTTTGCATCACGATTCGGTGTCCGGAGCCGATTTTTGGATCCGGATATTCATATAAAATATTTCAGAATAATGAGATGAAAGACTTGTCATAAAATGTGATAATTACATGCGTTGAGATAATCGACATAAACACCTCTATATTGTACTTTAGTTTAACAATACACATCATAATCTGTGCAGACCACAAAAAAATCAATAATTATGTGTCAGGGTTAAATGTCGAACAAATGCACCAACGGATATGAAATTTATAGCCTAATGTACACTACATTATATATTTTAGTGTAATTGATTCGATAATTATCCAACAAAATAATTTTCTTCTTAAATATTAACCAAACATGTGTCTATTTAAAAAAATGACATATTTTTCTCATATGAACACTAAAAAGTGCGTAAGTCATGTAAGTTTCGGCACATTCTTTGATGATTCGGATCAAACAGCCAGGACTACATGTGCATAAACATCAAAGATTGGCAGGTTCTTTTGAGAAGCCGGCTACACACCTGTCAAAGGTCATCGTGTGTAAATTTTATGTGTGTTATTGAACAATGGCAACATTATATTTAATTTATAAATGGGTCTTATTTTGTTTTCACGAATATGAGCAAGTGTGATTGTGTATTATAGCTCTAATTAAGGAATTTCGGCAGTTGATGATGAATTTCATTTTCATTTCATTTGAAATCGTAAGTACCATATACACACCAAGTTTATCCATTGCAGGTTAAGGGTTAGTTAGGTGGACCTGTATGTTCTTACATTATTCTCTTGTCATATATCACATAATTATAGCATGCTCATGATAACCTTGTACTACTTATTTGACTCGGTTTTAAAACTATGGTGATGTAGTTAGTCTGTGATACAGGATGTTCCTTTGCTGTCATCTTACAATAATCTGTCATCATTATGAAACATGGACGTTAATTGGCAACAGATAAGGGGTAGACAGTAAAATGCAATTAAATTTCTGTGAGAATCATTGAATAGGAAATGAAAATGGAAAAAAGAATTGTAAGAAATGTAATCAAGAAATTTAAAAGAGATTAAAAGTCATCAAGAATTTCATTGAGATAAAACTGATTCTGCAGGGCATAATTAATCAAAATTGATAATCTTTTCTCCGTGCTGTGTTCAAGGTTAAGTGTTGTCTTTCATGTTTCTGTAAGGCCATTGCACAATGTAAGACATTAAAATTGATTTTGCTTTTTAGCTCGACTATTCGATAAGAATAAGTAGAGCTATTGCAGTCACCCGAACGTCGGCGTCCGCGTCCGCGTCGGCGTCGGCGTAACCACTTATGTTAAAGTTTTTGTAATAGTTCAAATATTTTCAAAGTCCATTGACATATGGCTTTGAAACTTTGCACACTTGTTCAACATCATGACCCCAACCTGTAAAAAGGAGGAGGTAACTCTATCAAGCATTTTGACAGAATTATGCCCCTTTTTTGACTTAGAATTTACGTTAAAGTTTTTGTAATAGTTCAAATATTTTCAAAGTCCATTGTTATATGGCTTTGAAACTTTGCACACTTGTTCAACATCATGACCCCAACCTGTAAACAGGAGGAGGTAACTCTATCAAGCATTTTGACAGAATTATGCCCCTGTTTCGACTTAGAATTTACGTTAAAGTTTTTGTAATAGTTCAAATATTTTCAAAGTCCATTGACATATGGCTTTGAAACTTTGCACACTTGTTCACCATCATAACCCCAACCTGGAAACAGGTGGAGGTAACTCTATCAAGCATTTTGACAGAATTATGCCCCTTTTTCGACTTAGAATTTACGTTAAAGTTTTTGTAATAGTTCAAATATTTTCAAAGTCCATTGACATATGGCTTTGAAACTTTGCACACTTGTTCACCATCATGACCCCAACCTGTAAACAGGAGGAGGTAACTCTATCAAGCATTTTGAAAGAATTATGCCCCTTTTTCGACTTAGAATTTACGTTAAAGTTTTTGTAATAGTTCAAATATTTTCAAAGTCCATTGACATATGGCTTTGAAACTTTGCACACTTGTTCACCATCATGACCCCAACCTGTAAACAGGAGGAGGTAGCTCTATCAAGCATTTTGACAGTATTATGCCCCTTTTTCGACTTAGAATTTACGTTAAAGTTTTTGTAATAGTTCAAATATTTTCAAAGTCCATTGACATATGTTTTTGAAACTTTGCACACTTGTTCACCATCATGACCCCAACCTGTAAACAGGAGGAGGTAACTCTATCAAGCATTTTTTTTACTATCAAGCACTAAGAATAGTCGAGCGTTGCTGTCCTACCGACAGCTCTTGTTTAATGATCATATTAGGTGCATGTGCTTTTACATAATTGTGATCTTTTTTTAATCCCGAAAAAATGAAATTCAGCATATTGCTTTAAGCACATAGTCGCAAATCTGTGCGTCTGTTAGCAGTTTTTTTCCTCAGGCCAAGGTCACCTTTAATCATCTTAATAACAATTTCAAATTTCGTGTCAGCTCTGTATTGTTTGGAACAGACAGAAAGAAATTAAACTTTTTGGAAGAAATATTACTTATGAGACGATGTGTAGAACATAGGGATAAAAAATAATGGCCTTACCTCGGGATTTACCTGGTTCATATAGACTTGTTTAGAAAAACACATTTAAGTTTCATTGTGTGAAACTAAAATGTCTAGAGCATGAAGAATTTCCTTATTGACCTTTACAAAACTAATAAGTCATGCCCCTTGGTTCAATACTGGCCCTGACTGACTCCAGACATCACTTGATTAATCGCTTTATGCAAAGCTGGGAGGGATTATAGGAATGGCCTCTGTCTGTCAATCTGTGCTTCCGCCACTTGCTTTACCAAATATGGATAGGGGGCTATCTAACTGTAAACCGAACAAAAGAGAACAATATAGTTCACTTTGTAACAATAGATAAACGGGCCATCTATTAAACAAGGGAAAATTTATCCCAATTTTTCTCCGCCTAATAACTTTTAAACTGGTGAAAATGTTTTGAAATAACTTGGTACTATTGATCACCATAAAGAGACAATATGCAGAGCGCAATAGTTGGGTTTGCTACCCCATAGGTGAAGGTCATACAAAGTCTACATTTCAGTTTGGCTCCATAACATTTAAACCACAGAAAAAAATTGAAATAACTGGGCACAAGTGATCACCCTTATGAGAACATGTGCTGAGCGAATAATTTGGTTGCTTTGTAACCCTCAAGGTCAAAATGAAGTGTTAAAATGTCTGCATTTCGTGTCGACTCCATAACCTTAAAGACTGAAAAAAAATTGGCACAAGTGATCACTATTATGAGTCTCTGTGCAGAGCGCAATAATTAGGTGGCTATAAAGGTCAAGTGGTAAAAAGTCTACATTACGTGTCCTCTCAATAACATTTAAATTCTGCATTGTTTTTAGCTCACCTGAATTAGGATCGTTGAATGTCTGTTGTCTGTCCACATTTAGTTCGTTAACACTCAAGTGGTCACATTTTTGCCTCAATCATCATCAAACTTGGTCAGGATGCTTGTTTAAGTAACTGCTCGGAAGAGTTTGAACATGGGTCATCTGGGATGAAAAACTAGTTCACAGGAGATAAAAATAGAAAAATCTTGTTAACACTCCAGAAGCTACTGTTTGGTCCAAATACCTTAGAAATTAATCAGGAAGGTTGTTATGATGATTTCTAGGTTGGGATCAAATATGGGTCACCGGGGCTTAAAAACTAGGTCACACAGCCCAAACTTATGAAACATTGTTAACACTGTAAAGGGAACTGTTTCAATCCAAATATCCTGAAAATAGGTCAGAAAGGTTGTTTTGGTGATATTAAAGGTTAAGTTTGAATAGTTACCTGGAGTCAAAAACTAGGTCACACAGCCTAGATATGGAAAAACCTTGTTAACTCTCTAGGGGCTACTTTTTTCATCCAAATATCCTGGAAATTGGTCAGAAAGGTTGTTTATATTGATTTCTAGCTAAAATTTGAATACGGGTGAGCTGGGGTAAAAACTAGGTCACACAGCCCAAATACTGAAAAACCTTGTTATCACTCTAGGGGATACTGTTCCAGTCCAAATATCATGGAAATTCGGATTTAGCCTTCATAATCAGGTGAGCAATGTAAGGGTTATCATTGTCCTCATGTTTATTTAACGTTAGCTGTTCTTATATACCTTTTGGCCTCAGTCTGACTAAAGTTCAGGTCTAGTTATTTTATTTATTGCATGTAGATTTGTTTGCCACTGTGTTTGCTTCACCTTTGTAATTTGAATTTACAGAGAAAGCTATTTTAGCCATGCAATAATTGAATAAACCATACTTTACAGAATAAGCGTTAGACAAAGTATCAAATTATTGCTGGAAGTAAAACAAATTGTTAATTTTTGTGAGAAGGTGATAACCTATTGGTGGTTGTCAGATGCTAATGCCTAGCATTGATTAATTAGCAGTTGATTTTAATCAGATTGTTTTGAGCCTTTAAAAACTTACCATTTTTTCCCCAAAAAGTTTATTATGCTCCCCGAAAAATTTCCAGAGAGCATAATATTAGTCACCGGGTTGTCTGTTCGTCCATTTGTTGGTCCGTCCATACGTACGTCCTGAATTTGTGTCCGGCCCATAACTTCATTATTTGAAGTCAGATTTTCAACTATTTCACAGAAATGATCATCATATTGTGAAGACGTGTCGCACGCAACATTTGGGTGGCTACCTTGAAGGTCAAGGTCACAGCATGACCTTGCAGCAAATTGTGTCCGGCCCATAACTTTGTTATTTGAAGTCGGATTTTACAACTATTTCACAGAAATGATTATTGAGACGAGGTGTCACTAGCAAAATTTTGGTCACTACCTTGAAGGTCAAGGTCACAGCATGATCTTGCATCAAAATCGTGTCCGGCTCATAAGTTTATTAATTGAAGTTGGATTTGGGTCGCTACCTTGAAGTTCAAGGTCAAAGCATGACCATGCAGCAAAATGGTGTCTGGCCCATAACTTCGTTATTTGAAGTTAGATTTTCAACTATTTCACAGAAATGATGATCATATTGTGACGACGTGTCGCAAGCAACATTTGGGTCGCTACCTTGAAGGTCAAGGTCACAGCATGACCTTGCAGCAAATTGTGTCTGGCCTATAACTTCGTTATTTGAAGTCGGATTTTACAACTTTTTCACAGAAATGATCACCATATTGAGACAAGGTGTCACTAGCAAAATTTTGGTCACTACCTTGAAGGTCAAGGTCACAGCATGATCTTGCATCAAAATCGTGTCCGGCTCATAAGTTTATTAATTGAAGTTGGATTTGGGTCGCTACCTTGAAGTTCAAGGACAAAGCATGACCATGCAGCAAAATGGTGTCTGGCCCATAACTTCGTTATTTGAAGTCAGATTTTCAACTATTTTACAGAAATGATCACCATATTGTGACGATGTTTTGCGTGCAACATTTTGGTCCCTTCCTTGATGGTCTAGGTCACAGCATGACCAGTTGCAGCAAAATCCTGTCCAGCCCATAACTTCGCTATTTGAAGTCGGATTTTACAACTTTTTCAGAGAAATGATCACCATATTGAGGCGACGTATCGCGTGCAATATTTGGATTGTTTTTACACTTTCAACTTTATCTGTGACATAACTCTGACACTACAATAGGTATTCCTTTCCGTGTCCAAAACCTTTTCGGGGAGTATCACCCGGTTCAATCAGCTCTTGTTTGGATAACCTTTACATGTTTAAAGACCCATTATGACATAATTTTACATTCAGCACTGCTTTCTCCTGATGATATTAGTATTTAATACACGCTTAAACGATTATATGAATGTTATAAAACTCATGCAGCTTTTTCTAATGAAGGAAAATTCACTTCTTTCTAGATATAGTGTCATAGATCTATCTTCAAAGCTGCATATCTAATGTAAATCATCATATTCAAAATGTTTATTTATCACATACCCTTGCCGATTTTGGTATTGCACGGTCGTGCATATATTTTGACGTTACGTCATTAGCATAATACAAACATAGCATAAAGACGCGCTAAATGTTAGCGTTATACTATAGGCACGTTAATGAAAAATGACTCTTAGTTAATATTTCACTTTAAACTGTCTTTATTTTAGGTATGTGATAAATAAAATATAAAAATTTGTGTTAGTTCATTACTGAATTTATTGAACTCATTGAATAAAATGATATTATGCTCACCAGAGGCTCCCATAATTGAATTTTATTCAACTCATGCAATAAATTCAGTATTGAAGTTACACTCATTCAAAATCCTCTATTTCAGGCCAGAGCAGTTCTAGAAATTTGAAAGTTCTTCATCAAATGTTACAGAGTTTGGCAGATTGTCAGGAACCCTTGAAAGGTTTGTCAAGTCAGCTTAAGGATACTGATGGTCCAACAAATCACCAAAATGAAGGGGAGACAATTGTGAATATTATTGAAGAACGTTTGCAGTTTATTCTTCAACAACTTGTGAAAATAAACACACACTTGCATTCTAAAAAGAGGTTAGTATTCTCTTTCATCTGTTACATTACACCCCTGGTATACAACAGAGCTATGTCTTTTGGAAGTTTACAATAAATCTTTATTGATACTTCCGATCTAGTGCAAATTACCGAATTTAAGTGTCATCGAAGATATAATGGTGTCATCCTATATAATTTTTGTAAACTTTGCATCTAATCTTGAAAATTGAAGAAAGTTATACCATGTAGAGTTGATTAAAGTTACAATAAAAATGTAAAGATGATGAATTTATGTATAAACTGAAGTGATGCAGGTGTTTCCCATCTAGCAAATTAAGCATTGATATGGACTGTGTCATTAAGAAAGATATGATACTGCCTTATGTTTTCATTTAAACAGCAATCCAGATTAAAACTGAATTGAATATCTTTCAAAAAAGACTTTACATTACATGTAGAATGCAATAAAAATTTTAATCAAAACCAAAAATTAGTTATTAAAGAAAATGGGTAATCAAATGTGTAGCCTTAGTAAATAAAGACTTTACTTACTTACTTACTTACTTACTAAAGAAATTTTATGATATTTATTGTGCAAGACAGTTCTGTCATCATGATCTGATGATAGTCATTGTTAGTAATATAACATAGACAGGTAAGTGTATAAATAAAGCCATCCTGGGTTAAACAAGTTGGTTATAAATAGTAAATAGATACAGGATAAGTCGTCTTGGGTTAAAAAAGTATGTCATAAACAGTGAATGGGTCACATTTTGTTTTGATCTTGATCAAACTTTGTCAGAATAATCTTCTCAATCATATCTCTGATGAATTCAAATATGGGTCACCTTGGATCAAAAACTAGGTCATCAGGTCAAATGAAAGAAAAGCTTTCTTAACAGTCAAGCAGTAAGACTCAGATGAGGGACTATGGGCTATCATGGCACAGTAGTTTGAATGATTGAATGAAAGCAGAACATGTGGATTTTAGTTTGATGTTAATAAAAAACATATAGTAGAAATCAGGCTCTTGTTTAATGCCCGAGGCATAAGAATTACAGCCCTTGTTTTCCCTGCTTTATTAGGAGAGGCGACTAAATGTGTAGAAATTACTGGAGTCTATGCATCTTTTAGCTCCAGCAGGTGAGATGTTTTTATATGCCTGAATGAATTTCGGGCATATTATCTTATACCTCCTGGCGTCTGTCCGTCTGTCTGTCCTTCTGTTAGCAATTTGGTTTCTGTAGCATAACTTAAGTTCCATTCAGCCAACAATATTCAAACTTCATAGGATGATTGTCCATATTGGGTTGAAGACCCCTATTGATATTGGGGTCACAAGGTCAAAAGTCAAGGTCACTATTACATTGACACTGAAAACATTTTCTCGAGCATAACTTATGTTCCATTTGGCCCACAATATTCAAACTTCATAGAATGATTGTCTGTATTGGGTATAAGACACTATTGATTTTGGGTTCACAAAGTCACAGGTCAAGGTCACTATTACCTTGACACTGAAAACAGTTTCTGAAGCATAACTTAGGTTCCATTTGGCTCACAGTGTTCAAACTTCATAGGATGATTGTCTATAATGAGTAGAAGACCCCTATTAATTTTGGGGTCACAAAGTCAAAGGTCAAGGTCACTAGTATCTTAAAACTGAAAAAAGTTTCAAAGCATAACTTAAGTTCCATTTGGCCCACAATGTTTTTACTTTATAGGATGATTGTCCATAATGAGTAGAAGACTCCTATTGATTTTGGGGTCATAAGGTCAAAGGTCAGGGTCACAATAATCTTTACACTGAAAATTGTGGTTTCTCGAACATTACTTAAGTTACATTTGGCCCACAGTGTTCAAACTTCATAGGATGATTGTCAATATTGAGTAGAATACCCCTATTAATTTTTGGGTCACAAGGTCAAGGTCACTGACAACAGTTTTTGCCCAATAACTTGGTATTAATCATCCTATAGTTTATATTGATTACATTAATTATATGCCCTAAAAAATGTGCTTATATCTTGTTTTATCCCTGGCGTCTTTCTGTCCATCTGTTGTAGTAAAATTATTTAATTCCCATGTCTTACAAATGCTTCATAATACCCCCAAAAACAAAGTTTAGGGGGGGGTATATAGGAGTCACCCGGTGGTCGGTCGGGCGGTCAGTCGGTCGGTCCAGACGTCCGTTGCATTTTCCTTGTCTGGAGCATAACTTGAAAACTAATGGTTGGAATTCAATATAACTACATACAATGGTCAAGCACATTGAGAGGAAGTGCAGTGCACAAGTACCATAACTCTATCTTGACTAATTACAGAGTTATTGCCCTTTGTTACTTTTTCTTGTCCGGGGCATAACTTGAAAACTACTGGTTGGAATTCAAAACAACTTCATACAATTGTAAAACACAATAAGGGGAAGTGCAGTGCACAAGAACCATAACTCTATCTAAAGTAATTACAGAGTTATTGCCCTTTGTTGCTTTTCCATAGCTTTTTTTTGTCCATTGCATTTTCCTTGTCCGGAGCATAACTTGAAGACTTATGGTTGGAATTCAATATAACTACATACAATGGTCAAGCACATTGAGAGGAAGTGCAGTGCATAAGAACCATAACTCTATCTAAAGTAATTACAGAGTTATTGCCCTTTATTACTTTTCCATTGCTTTCTTTTGTCCGGACCATAACTTGAAGACTGATTGTTGGAATTCATTATAATTTCATACAATGGTCCAGTTCATTTAGAGGAAGTGCAGTGCACAAGAACCATTACTCCATCTTGACTTATTACAGAGTTACTGCCCTTTGTTTCTTTTCTTTGTCCAGAGCATGACTTGAAAACTACTGGTTGGAATTCAAAACAACTTCATACAATGGTCAAGCACAATAAGGGGAAGTGCAGTGCACAAGAACCATAACTCCATCTTGACCAATTACAGAGTTATTGCCCTTTGTTACTTTTCCTTGTCCAGAGCATAACTTGAAAACTACTGTTTGGAATTCAGTATAACTTCATACAGTTGTCAAGGACATTAAAAGGAAGTGCAGTGCACAAGAGCCTGAACTCCCATTTTGACAAATTACAGAGTTACTACCCTTTGATACTTTTCCTTGTCCTGAGCATAACTTAAAACGTACTGGTTGGAATTCAAAACAACTTCATACAATGGTCAAGTACAATAAGAGGGAGTGCAGTGGACAATAACTATAACTCTATCTTAAGTATTTATAGAGTTATTGCCCTTTGTTCTGTTTCTTTGTCTTTCTGGACTTATTACAGAGTAATTCAATTAAACTTCATAAATGGCCAACCACATTGAAAGGAAATGCAACATACATGAACCACAATTATCTTTAATTGCCCACAACCATAACTCTTTATTTCAATTCTTTTACAAGGTATTCTGTTACTAGTAACATCCTCATTTCCGAAGCAGACTTGTGGGGGTATTAATCACATTTAGTGATAGTTTTAGTTTTAACTAAAAAAAATCACTTTCTGGCATATAATGCTCGGTCTAGCTCGGTGCTCTTGTTGACCTCGGGTGTTACTTTGAAGATTGTAACACCATGTTTAGCAAAAATCATCTTTCCTGTTTCCGTACCAAACATCAGGAATTAATTCATTTTCAAAGTGCTAAACTTAATCAACAGTTGTAAAAGGTTTAAATTACAGTAGGTTAAATTATTGTTATAATTTACAGCATGTAACAGTATTCAACCTGAGAGTGTTTGGTTTCCCTGTTGACTTTAAAATGTTTGTGTTCACACAATGGTCAACTTGTCAACTTTAATTTGTAGTATTAGCAGTAACTTAATATTAACATTAGATCTGTTTTTGAACTCAAATACCTCAGGATAAAACTTGTAAGTCTAAGCCACCAAAAATTTCATTTTTTTTGGGGGGGGGGGGGTTTATTTGAGAAGATAAAGTTTCTTTACATTTATCAGGTGACACTTTTAGCGTATTTGATAATAGAGATCTGTCATATTAGAGCTTTGTCACACAAGTCACATGTTTGCACCAACATTGTTCATCTGACTTTAGGTTCACCAATATGTGTGCATAATTATTTATATAGAAAAAATTGAAAATCTTTTTCTAAAATCTGGTTGGTGACCAAGTTGTTAAAGAGGTTGTTAGGAATCAACTTGTTTGACTGTCCATCTGTCACTTTCATATTTTGTTTGTCAAGGGTGTAACTCAAAAGTCTATGGAAGGTATTTGCTTGAAACTTCGTAAATGGAGAGATCTTATTGAGGAGAAATGTTCTGTCTAATAGTAATTAATAATTTTCTTTTGTACTATTCTGGATAAATTGTCTTTTGTAATTGTAAAAAAAAAATATTTTTTGCCTAGAGCATTACTCAAAAGTATCAGAAGTATCAACTTGAAACTTGAGGTGAGACGTAGTACAATTTACAAGAACCATAACTTATGCATAATTGTAGAGTTATTCCCCTTTGTAATTTTTGTCATTGATTTCAGCTTCATAGAAAGAAATATGAGCCGTGGCACGACAAAACCAACATAATGGCTTTGTGACCAGCATGGATCCAGAGCAGCCTGCGCATCCGCGCAGTCTGATCAGGATCCATGCTGTTCGCTTCCCAACTCTGTAACAAGTAGAGAAACTGATAGCGAACAGCATGGATCCTGATCAGACTGCTTGGATGCGCAGGCTGGTCTGGATCCATGCTGGTCGCAAAGCCATTATGTTGGTTTTGTCATGACACGGCTCAATTATGTCATTGAGGAAAAGTCCATCCTTCCAAAAATATTAAGCCAGTTGCAAAAACTATTGGACTTTGGAGGTATCAACACCAAACTTTTAGATAGATTAACTTATCAGGGAAAAAGTTATCAATTAAAAACCATGACTCTTTTTTGAAGCTCATAGAAATTTGTTTTGATGATTTCTAGGTCAAGTTCTAATATGGGTCACCCAGGTTCAAAAACTAGGTCACACTGCCGAAATATGGAAAAACCTTGTTAATACTCTAATGGAAACATTTTTGACTCAATTGTC